GTTTGAATTACGCAGTGGCTCCTCGTCGTGTTCCATACGAAGAAATTATTTGTAACGTTGAGGGTTGTCTAGTTAAAAACAACATGAGAAAGAAAGATTTGGAGGCAATACGCCAAGACGTTTCGTCAATATTGCGTTCAAATAAACAGCCCAGACCGAATCTTACCCGAGATGAATATAACGCGCTGAAGACCTTCCGCGAAGATCCTGAATTAGTCGTCCTCCGTGCAGATAAAGGTAACGCGACGGTGGTCATGAATACGTCAGATTATAACAGCAAAATAACTTACTTACTATCGGATGAAAGCACGTATAAAAAGGTGAAGAAAGACCCTATCACCAAGATATTAAAAACAACAACTAACTTAATATCTAAGCACTCCGATACGCTGAAACTTGATGTAAGTGAGTTTGTACCCTGCTACGTAAAACCGCCACAACTGTATGGGTTATCAAAACTACATAAGGCTGACACCCCACTCCGTCCCATAGTTAGCCAGATTGACACACTAACCTACAAACTGGGTCAACACATGGCAAAGGTACTGTCACCATTGAGAGGGAACACTTCTACACTTGTGAAGGATTCATACCATTTCATCAGTGGAATCAAAGATCTACGGTTAACTGATGATGACACCATGGTCAGTTTTAATGTTCAGTCGCTGTTTAGTAACCTACCAGTAAAAGACTGCATTGAAATTGTACGTAGAAAGCTAAGGGAACATAATATGTCCATTGAATATGCAGAATTATTAGAACACTGCCTAACATCAGACTATCTATTGTGGAATAATGAATTCTACCTACAAATTAACGGTATAACGATGGGCTCCTCGGTATCTCCCGTTGTTGCCCGATATTTTCATGGAAGACTTCGAGGTGCGAGTTTTACCCATGGCCCCAGCTAGGCCGAAGATTTTCAAACGGTACGTTGATGATACTTTCACAATATTACCTAAAGATAGCATACCTTCTTTCTTGGACCATCTTAATTCTTTTAGTACTAAGATCCAATTTACTATGGAACAAGAGAATTGTGGTACTTCAGCTTTCTTAGATGTTTTAATTAAAAGAAATCCTAACAACACCTTAGGCCATACTGTATTTCGGAAAAAAACCCATACAGATAGGTATCTCAATTGTAATTCCCATCACCATTCTAAGCCAGTTAGCTACCGTGGGCAAATCTTTGTTTCAGAGAGCACATGGTGTCTGCGACAGTAATCATCTGGCAGGGGAACTTCAGCATATAAAGCAAGTCCTACATGCGAATAAGTTGAAGATTCCACGCCAATGCAGCAGGCCCCGTGTTTCAAACCCCTGAGGAAGATTTCTCAGTTCCTGAGACTCGTGAGATTTAACATCCCCTTACAGGATGCAGGATTTACAAGCTTGACTGTGAGTGCGGTCTCTCTTATATTGGACAAACAACGCGAAGTATTTGTACCCGCGTCAAAGAACATATAGCTGATGTCAAACGCCGTCGCGTAAACAAGTCTGCAGTCTGCGAACATGTCATGGATAAACCTACACATTCAATGAAGTTTGACAAAACCCAGGTCCTTGCAAAAGAAGCCCGTTATCTACCCAGGATGCTGCGAGAGGCCATTGAAATTAAAAAAACATCCTAATTTCAACAGGGAAGATGGTTTCTCAGTACCACCAGTTTGGGATCCAGTATTTCCTCTAATGAAAAATCCCAAACAGACATAAGACTGCAGTACTAATTAATATGTTTTAGTTTATTCTAATTTCTATTATTAATTAACAATAAATTGAACTTAATAAAAAATCATTCAATAAAATAATTTGTAAAACTTAATGTAACGTAAACTGGAATGTTTTCTTTGTAAAATTAAAAATAAGGTATATAATTAATAACTATTGTAACTGTAGTGAAAAAATAGGGTGGTTTGCATCAATATTAGACATAACTGGTTGAAGACTGTACCACCTTAGTCAACCGTGACCATGGAACCTGTAAAGGGCCCAAAACGTCGTCGGTTTGTTTGAAAAAACAAATATACGCGATTTAAATCCGGAAAAATAGTTTCATTTCCTATGTGTAACAATCGCGAAAACCTAAGAACTCGATATGATTTTTTAATTTAATAAACGCTGTAAAGGGTCCGATACGTTGGTTTGTTTGCAAAAACAAATGTACGCGATTTAGATCCGAAAAATTGTTTCATTTCTTGTAAGAAGTACGGTTCATCCAACCTAAGTGCGTTTGCGCACTGCGTCCGATTTATCCGGATATATCCGGATCGTTCCGAATCTAGACTCGAATCGAATCGAGACTATACGAGTATAAATCTAGAAAACTTCGAACCACTTCGGATGTCGCTGGTGCGCTAAGTCCGCTTCGAATCCGAGAAAATACGAATGTCACTTGTACACCTAAAGATAAAATGATCCCTGTGACATTTCGGACCATCATTTCCCGGATTCGGAACTAATACGAATCGGACAGAGTGCGCAAATGTCCTAAAGATTACGGAAACTTGAGGGCCCCAGAGCGTGGGCCCTGAACCCCTAGGATTAATACAAAAGTAAGTTCAAATGCACAGCGCCAGTTTCATAAGGTAACTATGACTTGTGAATGGTCGGAAACAGCTGCCGAACTAGTCTCAACAAGTTTTAGGCATATTAACATTGCTAGCCTAACAAACCAACAAACAACCGTTCAAATAACATTTGACCCCTTAGTAATTCTCAACCTTTATCTGTAGTTAGCTCTGGTTAGCTAAATGTACAAGTAACTTGTTAGCTTCTATACGATAGTAATGTTACATAATACTATGTGTGTAGATACAGTCACAATCAGTAAACCCTTAAAGAACTGTAAAGGTTAAATTGTTTTATTACTATGATTATCATTTATTTTTTGCGATATTACTCCACTAATTTGTTATAATTATTAATACAAAAATCGAACACAAATAAAAATTCCTTAAATCTGATAGGATTCGAACCTGCTTCTATTAATAATTATGACAAAGTGTATATAGTACGAATCATAATTTGATGTCTACAATGTAAACAAAGAAATGTTAATGTCAAAGTGTGAATGCAGGTGTGCTAAACCTTCTATTTTCAACGGTATTCAGAAAAAGAGGAGGTTTTCAATTTGTTCAATTTTAATTATCTGTAATAATATAATAACAATAAACAAAAACTTTAACAACAATATACATTAATTTAATAATGGTGCGCTTATTAAGTTAATAGAGACAAGAAAACATGCTTGTCCGAGAAAAGAAGCACGATACAAAAATATGGCGGCATAAAATGTTTTTGATCCCGAATATCACCAATGTCATAAAATGATTTAGGACCTTAGACATAGTATTTAAATAAAGTTTTCAAAGTTTTATCAGATTACAGCTTGAAAAGAGTTTTATACGATAATTATCGTCAAAAATAGTAAAATATAATTTAAAAATTATTTTTTTGTTCGGTTATCGCCTTTGTTTACATTTTGGACATATAATTATGATTCATGTATTAGTAGAGTAATTTCACAAAAAAATAAATGAACATCATGGTAGTATAACATCGTGATTTTCATTACAATCAATATTACAATTCATAAAGCAACTTCTCTAGTCAACCTCTGACAATAGTAGAGGTACCTGATTGAATAGTGAAAAACTTTCATAGATGTCTCACAGATGGCGTCAAAATAAAAAAAAACAACAAAGATTCGTAACAAACGCATAGAAAAACTCGTAAGTTCGGCTGACTCGATCTGTAGCGGTCGCTCTAGTACAATACAAACGAGTAGAGTGTCAGACCGAAGGAATTTTTATCTTTGTAATTACTTATAGAATTTACAATTCAAAATAATTTTCGAAAAGCTTTGTAAAAATTTTAGTTTATTTTATTATATAATAATTTGTTCACTTGATCTATTTTGCCAAATGTATAGCTTGTGTTCAATTCATACGTTGGTTCGTTTATTTATCTTTTCATTTATTTTGTTTATTTGTATCCATATAGAAAACACTGCACATTAAATAGTGGAACATTGAATAAGCTAAATGAACATTATAAACAAGTGGAAGAACATCACAGCAAGCAAATCTAATTTAATCACTACGTTAAGGCTGTTGTGTTTTATCACATTAGTTAAAACATGTCAATTGAATACTATGTTAGAAGAGAGTAACATAAATTAAATATCTCATGGGACTTGTCAACTTATGTCTTAGGGTGACGGGCGCAACGGCAGTGGCCCTCAGATCTTTGCGATTTAAAGCTCTGAGTGGCACTGCAACTGTTATGAACAAGCTTGTAGCTTATCATCAAGCGTACGACTTGGTCGTCCTGTCACTTAATATTATAAAAAGAAATAGGTAACTTATAAAGTGCAAACGCAAATAACCGAACATAGATCAGAGACAAAAAACCGACCTCGAAAGTTGATGACATTACATCTATTTGCCAAGTTTTATTGAAGTCGGTAAACGAAAAGTGGGTGAAATTTAAAGAAACAGATTTAGCTCTTAATTTGCCACCCTTAGAGATAGAATATTTTCATCAAATTTGAATGAGACTAAGGTACCCCTTTCGAATGCACAAAAAAAAAACGAATTGAGAAATTCGGCTATTTTTTGAACTCTGTATATGCTAACAGCTCGTTATTCTATGCATATGATAATTATTTTTTCGCAAGAAAAGAATATACACTTCAATTCGGAAACCCGTTAGGTTAACATCGAGAATGAAACATTATTGGAAGTAACTTTAATATAATATCCGCCCTTCAAGGAAAGTTATTACCGTCTTTTTCAAATCCCACATACATATATACATATAATTTCGGGTTAACCGTCAACATTAGTAAAAAGCATTTTGATCAAAATAATATTCCTTCTATCCAACATTGACCTCTTTTTAATTAAACACATACACTCTAGCACTGAAAACTGTGAACTTGATTAAAACAATAAAAATGTAAAAAATTCGAGCTCTAAATAATATCGATATCTCACCTGAGGCTCGCTAGAAGCCCGATGAGGGCGACTCCACTCGAGCTCTGCATTTTACAAACTAAGACAATCGTAACGAGTAATATCGAGTAAAGAATTAAATCCGGAAACTCCGGACCTTAGAGAAATGACGTCAAGGGCGACGGAACAAGTTCTTGACAGTTATATTGTTACTCGTGACATAGTATTATCATGATACCTACTTGCTAAGTTAGTAAGTTGTTCACATACCTACTCGCGGTTATGATCTGAGATTTATAAAATAATATATCGTCGGTTTTGTAAGAAGGGCGAAATCAAATTCAAATGTTTTGTAGAAAGTTTTAAAATATTTACGTCCTGTTTTAAAATTCAATTTAGGTTTTAAAACAGGACGTAAATATTTTAAAACTTTCTACAAAACATTTGAATTTGATTTCGACTAATCTCCTAAGGCTCTATGTGCATAAAAATATACATAATATTAGAAGCAGAAGAAGAATAATATCAAGTATAATTTAGTAGCATTAGAGCTCGTTATAAAAGAGTTCGTCCAGGGAAACACAAGGTGGCAACCTTACCTATTTCTTCCGCCAAGCAGTAATGTCAGCATTACTGTTTTAAAGTATTGAAGGATAAGTGTGCTGGTGAAATAACAGGCACATGAGACTTGTCAACTTATGTCTCATGGTGACGAGCGCAGTGGCAGTGCCCCTCAGATCTTTGCGATTTAAAGCTCTGAGTGGCACTACAATTGTCATGGACCGGCGTGTAGCTTATCATCAGGCGCACGACTTATCCATCTCGTCACTTGATATTATAAAAAAAAAAATACATTATAATGAAAATATCACACTTATGGCTATAGGGTAATTTAGAAAAATACGCTTTTCATACAAAACTGGGGGCATGTTTCCTTGAGTGTAAAGCATGTAATTACATTTAGTAAATTTTAATGTACATTGACCGTTTTGCGCTTTTCCCATTGTACGAGCTAGTCTTTTGTATATAACAAAACGAACTTACTTAAATTTAAATAAAAAAATTAAGTTTAAATTTCTTGCTCACACAAAAAAGAGACGCTCTGCGTGGTCGAGAAGCTTGCACACCGGTTTTCATAGTGTCGCCATCTATGAGGTCCCGGGCTCGAGCCCCGGCCGGGTCAATGTAGAAAACTATTTTTTCTATTGTTTCAGGTCTTGGTGTTAGTAGTAGGTAACGTCGGCGTCGTTGTTTCCGATTTCCATAACACAAGTGCTTTCAGTCCGTAGCAATGCGCGTTCGGAAACGGACGTGCCACGACGAAGTGAGTTAATTACACCTAACTCGTGTTTCGAGCGGCACAAGCCGCTGCCGCTGCGCGTAATTGACAATGAGTTCCCAGCAACTCATTGCCAATGAGCTCCTGGCGTTCATTGTACACGCTATCGACACCATGGATGAAGTCAGCATAGTGCAGATATGCAAATCAAATTTCAGTGAAGATGAGATTTGCAGTGGCAAGATGCTGCTTTTCCAGCGTCTCGGTAAAGCCGAAGAGATGCCATCTCGCCGGAGGGATGGAGGCGTGAAGAGTCTCCAAGACATCATCACGCTGCTGAAGGAGACTGACCCGGACGACGTGCCTACATTCGTGGCGAAGGAGCTGCACAAGCTGCCCCCCGTCACGTTCGACCACGTCGATGTTACTAGGCTGCTGAAGGACATTACGTCCCTGAAGTCTAGCCTAGCCGAAGTACAGTGTAAATTAGAGGCTTCGGATAACATCATAAGTGAGCTGCGTACCCAAGTTGCGTTATTAAGCAATGCTGTTTCGGTATGTAGGTCACCAGAAGCCTCTAATGTAAACACACGACGCGGAGCTGCGCTGAATGCCTCGGTCAGCAGTTTCGAGTCGGCACACAATGCGTCACCATTCGTTGCTGCCACCGCGCATGATGCGCCGCGCCCCGCTGCCCGCCCCTCTGCCTCGGTGGAAATGTCACGCGTGTGCACGTCAACCCCGACACGTGCATACGCCGCTGTAGCCGCTGTAGCCGCTTCAACTAGCCGACCCGCCACTTCGAAATTCGAGCGGCGGCAATCGGCTAAGGATAAAAACAATTTCCGTGTGCCTGTCTCTGAAGTTGCAAAACCACAGAGGCAGACGGTCCAGTGCGACGAGGATGGCTTCACAAAGGTGGTGAAGAGGAAGCCCACCAGCCGTAACCAGTGTGGCACAGCTCCGACAGGACCGAACTTCCTGCTGCGTCCGGCCGTACCGACGACGCTGTTGTACCTGTCGCGGCTGCATTACTCCACGAAGTCTGAGGAAATAGTGGAGTATATCAGGCATAAAACCAAATACACCCTGAGGGTCGAGCGGTTGGAGTCTCGCCGCAACGTGAACTTCAATTCGTTTGTGGTGAGAATACCGACCGAACATCTTTCGACCTTCATGAAAGAGGAATTTTGGCCGAAGGGTGTCATATATCGGCGATTCCGCGGCCGGTTACCTGACACCAGATTGCGCCACACGTCGCCGATAAGGGAAATCGTGTAGATTAGTTTTTATTATTATATTGTATGTATGTTTGTTTTAAGGTATATATAATATAGGTGTATTTTGTTTTTATATTGTTATTGTTATATTATATGTATGTTAGTCTGTAAGGTATGTATCTATGGGTCCTAGTTGCCTGAAATAAATAAATAAATAAAAAAAAAAAAAATAAAAAATTTAGCTACTTACTTTGGGATCAGGGCAACGTATGAGATGTTGTCTAATGTTTATTTGTTTTTATTATTTATTTATTTATATTTATATTGAAAGTTCGTTTTGTAAATACGAAAAACTTGGTTAGCTCGCCATTTTTGCTTAGTCAATGTCAAAGTTCGTTTTATGAATCTCAGTCTTACTGTTTTAACAAATGGAAGATATTTCAATTCCTGCACAATATAACGAATGGAAGTGACGTACACGTTCGACGGGAAATAGACGCCCGATTCCATGCGCCCATTTTGTAGAAGTAAAAAATTGTAGTGTATTGATGATCTCGGTGTGGTTAAAACTCTGAGCGAGGAATTGAATCAGTTTAGGAAACTTACTAATCTTTCACACCCGAGTGAAATGTTTTGCTCTGGTACTCATAATACAGGGAATTCCTTAATTGGAGATTACGTAATTAGTACGTTGTTACTAAATAATTCTTTATTATTTTAAGAATAATCGTCAACTAAATTATGGTCGAACATTTTTGTAACACACTGTATGTATGTATGTACGTACTACAAGCTTTTTGTTATAAACTGCATTTATAACAAAAAGATTGTAGAAAATTATTATAACGTGATGTTACTAACTTACTACCTAAATTTAGCTTGTGGGCGTATTTTCTATCACAGCAAATATCCTTTTTTTATTATTCCTTTAATAATATTGAATCCAGGCTCACGACTTTATTGGAACATTTTTTTTATTTTAATTTTTTTTTTTAATGTTTTTAACCTATATATGTCCAAAGTCAAAAATAACACAAAACTATGTCTATGTTTCAGATGCGTTATTTATGCCAAAATTATTTATTCAAGTTGTTTGTAGTACACACTAGTTCTAGTATTTTTTCATAAAAATTAGATTATACGCGGAATCAAAACAAACTGCTTCTTCTCCAATATTTTCTTGATTGTTTTTTCCATTTATAAAGTTTAAAATTGGGTTATTGTCGTAAAAACTTTATACAAGAGATTTATTACACAGGCTCTGCTTACAAGGATGACACAAAAATTTAGTTGAAATCCGTTCACCTCTTTTAGGTTATTTCTATCTATGATATTACAAAATATACAGTGTGATTTTTTTTACTGGGACAGGTGCAGATATTTTTAATGGAGAAATCCGAAACCATAGGAGATCCAGGCAAATTGTATTACCATAAACCTTTAGATATTTTTTGTGAAAACAATTTTGACATAGTCAATATTTTTATCACTCGTGGGTTGTACATAAAATTGAATATTATTCAGACATCTTTAGACTTTACACTTTTTGTTTTAATGTTCATCGACTCAGTTTCTTGTAAGGATAATTTAATTCAACCAACTTCTGCAGATTTCTGTAGCAGTAAAGCTCTTTGTGAAAGAGTTCGTCCAGGGTAGAACTGCCACCAGCTATTACTACCGCCAAACAGTACCAGTATTACTGCGTCCCGGTGGTGAAGGGTATGGATGCTGGTGAAATTACAGGCACATGGGACTTGTGAACTTATGTCTGAGGATGACGGGGGCAGTGGTTGGTCCCTAAGATCTTTGCGATTTAAGGTACTGATTACCACTGCAAAGGTTATGGACAGGCGTGTCACTCACCACCAGTCGCACAACTTATTCGTCCCGTCACTTAGTATCATATAAAAATGTATATATGTAATGTATTGGAATTGAAACTACTTTTTTCAAACATATTAATTTGTCTCTTTTTAGTTCCTACCAGTGGCGAGGCGTCCATGTAACTCGATTTCCACTGGCTTACCTAAAATTTTCCACGTATATTCAAAAGACAGCGCGCATATCCCACCACTTGAAAATCGTACATACCAAATTTCAAATAATTCATTAATAAACGCGTGCGTAAAGTCCTTGATAATACGACGTATTGTAGCCTTCCCGGTGGATCTTAACCAATGACAGCACGAATAAGCCGACATCGTCCCGGCTTTTATTTCATTCATGAAATCAATTCGCACACATCAAAATACACGCACACATTTGCAAAAATACTTAGTGGAATACGACCACAACCCGAAGGCGGCCCACACGCCGAAGATTATCGGGTTTTCATCGAATGGCGTTCACGTAAATTTAAATCTTATTTACGCGCTTTACGGTTTATTTTTAAACGCCGATGACTTTGGCGATAATCGCCAACTTACAGGAAAAAACTTCAAGTTAATTCCTGTAAATTGCCAGCTATGATACAACTAAATTAGAAATATGATTGTATCTGTGCTTTGATCTGTGTCGTGAGTTCTACTCAAATTATTTGGGTAATAATTTTTATGAAAGAACATATTTATAATTCATATTGACTCGCG